CCCCCCCCCCCCCCCAACCCGTCACTTCTAAAGCAAGCAGCTCTGGGTTTCATTCTTGCTGAGAAACTGAGTGGCCCTAGCATGTGGCATAGGGACTACTGGAGATGTCCTAACTGGCCATGGAGTTGTATTCACTCCCACAAGAAACTGTGATCTCATTTCCTCTCACCTGTGCAAGCTCAGGTGCAGAAATACATGCAACAGATCTGCAAGAAACTGGTGCTTGCTTGGCTTTATGCTGATGCCTGCCAAGGCAGGGAGACTGGAGATATGGTGCGAGTCATTGGAAGCCGTGCAGAGGAGTTCTGGGGATGACCTGTAATGGCAGACTTCCAGGCACGAACAGAAAAATACCTCCAGTTGTGGGAGTCAGGAGGCCGTGAAAATCTAACAAAGGGCATCTCAAATGGGGTATATTTTGATTGGTGTCAGCACAAACTTCTCCTTAAGATTCATGTCTGGCAATCTTAATATTCTGGAACATAACCAATATGGAAAAGAGTAAGAGACCTTGAGTGACAACAAAGACTTTTTTTTTTTATAGCAGTTACTGGAGCTGAGCTCCAGGGGTAGAAGTGATGCTGATGGTCCTGCAGGTGAGATCTTTGCAAAGCTCTCCTAGTTCTGGCGGCTGGCCCAGTTATGCTCCGCAAAGACATCATGTGGCTTTGAGGTATCTCTGCAGCATTATGAGGTCTTCATCGCAACTTGGAGCAGTTTTGTGTGACTACACAGCAGCTATCCACAGCTCAAAGGGGCTGTTCCAGGAAATGGTGTGGATCTCTGAATATACCTCCTGTACAGCTGCGACAGCAAAGGGTTTCATAGGGCCAGTTGATACTATCCCGGTGGAGGAAAAGTCCCAGGGAACCAGGTTAGGACAGATTTATTGCTCCTTTATGCTGTTCCAGCAACACAAAGGCTGTATCTGGTCTGAGGATTAGTGCCCAGATCTCTTAATCGGGTCTGAGCTGTGCCTTTTTATTTCTTGATTTAACACTGTTGCACAGGGGAATAAGCAAAGCTGTTTGCCTCCGCTGTGACTCCCTGAGTAAAGGTTAATACATGTGGGTGAACCATGGGATAGAGGAAGAGAGCAGATTACCCCAGTGCATCGGCTTGCGTTAACATCAGAATTATGTGCATGTGCATGACTTCATGGTAGACTTTATACATTGAGGTATTTTATTATGATGAAGCTTTTATCTGTAGGTTCAGGCCCCTAAACCAAAGAAGCCTGACTTCCACAGGAATTGGAGTCCCGTCCTCCTGAAGTCAGTAGGGAACATGGGGGCTCAGTGACTTTGGGCTGTCAAGGAAAAGCAAGGGAGTGACTGAGCTAACATGCCTCTGTGTCGCTATTTCAGCATCTGAAAGCAAAGATGGATAAGATCCTGGAAGCCGTGGTGATGTCTTCATACCCCAACAATGTGAAGCAAGGACTTGTGAGACGGGTCATTGAGGCAGCAAAGCAGCCCATGGATAGCGAGCAGTGCTGGTCCATGCTGGAGCTCTCCACCAAGCTTTACCTCACAGGCGACACCAAGTACAAGAGGGAGATCGGAAAGGAGGTGTTGGAAGTTTATGGACACTACCATCCGGAGGAGTTTGAAGAGTTCTTCAATGTCCGCTTCCTCTTGAGCCTCCTCCAGGAGGGCTATGGGCCTCTGGGGAAAAGGAGCCATTATGTGCTGGATTACATCCACCTTGGGCTGCAGTTCGTCTTGGAGAGCCCGTCGGCTAATGATATTTTCAGCCTCTTGAAGATTGAAGTGCTCCGGAAAGTCTGCGAGAGGCCCGGACCCAAGCAGTGCGCCAAGATCGGTAAACTCCTCATGCAGCATCCTCAGTGCATCCCCACCGGCAAGCACCAGGTCTTGTTCTGCCAGCAGCTAATACGGTGCATCGGGCAGTTCCAGTGCATCTCGGAGGGTGAGGAGGAGATCATGGAGTTTCTAGACCATGTGAACAAAGTGAGCGGACTGCTGCAGAAAATCTGGAGAGCTCAGACGTCCGCCATCCTCCCATCCCTAAAAGAGCTCTTCACAATCATTTCTTCAACAGGTAAAAAAAAATAAATAAAAGGCTTCTTTGAATAATGAATGGGATAAGCCCACCTTTTAATTGGCTTCTGAAATGCAGCCCCCTCTGGTTGCTGAAACAGGTAAGCATGCTGCCAATGTAAAGGCTGATGGCTAGGAGGCCTTCGTGGTATTTGAGAATATCTCCCTCTTCATGGCTGGCCCCCAGTGGGTGAGGGAGCCTGCTACTTCCCCAACGTTCATAGCGTTCCTTTGCTTCAAATGGAAATGGCTTGTGTTTTGAATGCTGCTGGGAGCTGGGGCCTCCTTGCTATTGGAAACCTCACCCTTGGCCTTTTCCCTTGCACTGTGCAGATAAACCAGTCCTGTCCCATTGTGGCTTGCATAGAATAACTAGTGAGCACAAAGGTAGCATGAATTTGAGGAGGGGTCAGGGCAGCTGGTCTCCTGTTGGCCTTTGGGGTGGGCTTCTGCTTTGCCAATACCCAAATCAGTAGATTGCTGCCTCTGCCTCTGTCTTGTTCCTCGCTCCCAGAGTGTCTGCTGTGATCATACACTGATATCTGCTATTGCTTGAATGGAGTTAGGAGCCAAGGAATCCTTCTAGGAGGGACAAACATTGACTTGGTGGTGCTCTGCTGATCTGCATCATCATCTTTTTAGCGAGACAGGATTTAACCTTTAAGGTAGAAGAATTCCCACCCAGACTGGATTTAGGTGGTGACTAACAACTTCAGTGCTGGGTTCTCTTATTCATTTCTTTTTCCAGAGGAGCAGGAAGCTCCATCCAATGCCTTGGCCAGTGTGGTCCAGTATGTTCCTCTGGAGCTCATGGATGGCGTCATCAGAAACCTAACCAATGATGACAGCATAACCGATGCCCAGATGATGACGGCGATTAGTAGGTAGGAGATCCTGGAGGGGTAGGTAGGAGACACTTCTGAAGGGTCCTTGTGTGTCCAGAGAATGACCTGGCCATCAGTTACTTTCAGATATTCATCGTAGTTTCATTCCAGGAGTCTGGTTTAGAAAGGGATGCTTCTTTTTTTTGGTGTCCTATGCAGCCCTCATATTGTGGGCATCAGGAGTGCAAGAAACATTTTGATAACCCTCTGTGTAACTCTCCAACAAGGGTGGATCAAGGAGGGGAGCCCCACTTTTTTTTTTTTTTATTCCTGCTCAATCCAAACTTTAAAACCAACTGCCTGGGAGGGGCAGTGGCATTTCCAATCAGGCAGCTCTGAGAGAGTCAATTGACTTCATGGCTCATGATCATCTACCTGAGTCCTGCTAATGTCTTTTTCTTCTACAAGCATTAACAATCCTCCGTTCTTTTTAATGGCCTTGGTACTTCACTATTCAAACCATCCTTTCTTCTGCAATTTTTCTGTTTGTTGGCTATTCCTGGTAACGTCTCTCTGTTATAGCACAGCCCGCAGAATGCTTATATCTCTAGCTAGAAACTTTAACTCGGGTGTTTGTAATATTAACTCGGGTATAGAACTGACAATGAAGCATTGGAAACACCAGCAAAATGTACAAGAATACTAGATTTTGTCCTATGAATTTGAGCGAGAGACAAGAAGTGGCCAAAATTGCCTAGTTTCTTGTGGTTTTTTTTTTAAAAAACTTTTTAATATATTATCCAGCAAACTAATGCACATTCCAATAAAGTTATATTTGTTTTTTGCCTTGATATTAACTGAATAGTATACTGCTTAACCCCTTAAAAGCATTACTAAAAAAAGCTAGCTTCCCTTTTAATTGGAGAGAAATGTGTTATGTTAAAAGTGATGTTGCCTTTCACTACATGCGTCTCTCTCCCTTTTCAAAATTCTAGATCAAAGCATTCAGGACTTTGGGCTGCGGAAGCAATGTTTCCAGAAGTGATTAGGGACGTTAGGTGCCCAGCTTGGGACAGCTTCACGACTCTGTTTTCAGAAAACTTTGAGAATCCATTCTCTGAAAATCAGCCCCTTCCAATAGCCTCCAGCTGAGCACCAAAAATGTACAGAAATGCCTAAAATACAGAGGTCTATAAAGGAACATAATAAAGCAAAGCTGTACTGTTTCCTATTTCTACTTGCAGTTGAACTCAACTGCATCCCATATGCAAAGGGGCTTCTCTGGTCTGTTAGATCCTCTGTCTGAATCCAGGACCAGCATTCACCCTGCTGTCTCCAATCTGCAGCACCGTTCGTGATGGCTGCCTGTGTCTGGACCAACTGACTTGGGAGCTGGTCCAGAATACAGTGAATGAGCCATATTGGCTGAACCACATTGTCTGACATTGTGTATACATAGTTCAGGGAGGGCAGGGGATGTGGCCTTCGCCCTGGGGACACCAGACATCCTCTACAGGCCCATGTCCTAGGACTAAACTCTTTCCCACCTGCTTTCTTCGGAGCTGCTTCATTTTGTGGTCTCCTCTTATTGGGGGTACAGACACGTGACGCATCTCTACAATGACGTAATTTGCAGCCCTTTGATCTGTGCCCTGTTTCATGTTGCCAGACTTGCTGATGAGTGGAGCAGACTGTGGGCTGCTTTTGCAGCACTTCAGCACTGGGCAATGTAGGAGCGGATAGTAAGTTGAAACAATAGTTACCCGTGGCGGTAGGCAGAGGTAAGATTTTGAAAAGCAGGGTGTAGAAGCTGTGCCTGGCACTGCAGCCATGCTGAACCCCCAACTCCTTGTATGCTTCTGCCCTCAGTGGACAGACCCCATTGCAGTAGCAGCAGCAGGGAAATTTTTTGAGTCTCTGAAGCAGGTACGTATCCCCCCTGCCAACTATCAGCACCTGCTCCTCTCCCCTTCATTCTCGGTCTTCAGTAGGCTTTGCCCAGGCTGCAAACTCTGCCAGTAACACATCTGGCTGCAGAAAGGGGGGTCCTGCCCCCTGCTGCCACTGTCCCTGGCTGTCTTGGGGACATGAGAAGCTGCTCCTGCCCTGCTGCAGCCAGCACCTATCCAGGGTGCTGGGCTCAGCTGGGAACAGTAGCAGTGGTGATGCATGAGTTCTCCCTCCCTCCCTGTGCGTGCTCTCGGCTGGTAGGAGACACTCGAGGAGCCTGGGCAGGGAGCGGGTACAAGAAGAGGGACCTCTTGTCACTGGTGGTGTTCCCAGCCAACCTGGCACTCTGCACAGCTGCTCTTTGCAGCTGTAGCTGGTGTGTGTGTGGGGACCTCTGGGGGCGGAGGGGGAGCAGGGGCCTGCATGCTGCCACTGCTGCTGAGCCTGGCCCCTCACATAGCCACTTCCCACAGTCCCCAGCTGTCAGGGGTAGGTGCATCCCTAGAATTTGCCACATCCCCAGGTCAGCTGGGGATGGTGGTAGTAAGGGTGAATAGGTATCCCCTTGTAGTGCCTGGAGACATAACTAGCAGGGCAACCCCTGCCAGAGAGAGAGAGTGGAAGGAGGTGAGAAGCAATGCTGAGAGTTGGAGGGAGGAGGGGGACACTTACCTGTTTCAGAGACTCAAAAAAGTCCCCATCTGCTGCTCTTGCAACCTGGACTTTGTAGTAACCCCAGGCACCTGGGCTAGTGGGGAACCAGAGCCACTGGTATATGAGCTACACAGCAGAAGGAGGGGTGTGACCCCCCCCAATCACACTCCCCTACCCCTGGGATAGTAAGCTGACATTTTCTGGAGTTGTGGTCATGCAACGCACAACCTGGAACAACCATGTAATGTACTCCAGGGTATAGCTACTGCAGTTTTTTTTAGAGGTGACTTTACACAGGGGTTCGGTGACTTGTAGTATACTAGTGTAGGGCCATATGCTGTATGTCTGTTCCACCTTTCTGCTAGTATAAATGTGTCTAAATCTGGAAAGAAAGAGACAAGCTGCTCCCTGCTTTCCTCCAGTGCCTACACCGTCTCCTTTCCACTGCTTGAGCACAGAAGTGCCCTTCAGTAGCACGCAGATCTCTTTAAACTTGCCGGGGTGGGCTCTTTGTGCCGACTCCAGCAGTCCGAGACAAAGCCCCGGTTGTATTTCACTGCAGTTCCTGTCCTACGTGTTGTTTTCTTTCTCTGCGTTGGGAGCTACGCCCAGATGCTGCCGCGGACGCTAATCGATAATTCCGCTAAGAGCTCCAGCAGCTTCTAAAAATAGCTGTCCCAAAATCAATTACAGCTTCCCTTCTCAGATCCAGTGCAAGGATGAATGATGATGAGTAAATGATTACTCACTGCTAGCCAAACATTAAGCAGAGCCTGTGAAACCTAATTAGACTCACTGAGGAGCTGCGGGGAAGTTTTGGTGGAGTGTTGATGGGTGCTCCCGACAGCTACATTAATGCCCACCCTCCCTTTTGAGTGGGACCACTTTGAATAACACCACAAACAGGATTTTTGTGCATCGGTGTGTGTGCACACATGGAACCATCTTGTCCGGTATATTTAGATGTGTACACAAGGCCTTTAATCTCTGGGCCTGGGCGCACACCATGTTAATACTGACATAACTTATATAATTTTTGTATGCTAAATCATACTGGTGCCTGGAGTGGACAGATTACCTGTTTCCCTGGGGTAGCTGCTGCAGTAGGTGGTACTATACCATTTCATCACCAGGTGGTAGTGGTGGTCTGTTTGCATTGAGCGAATGGTTATCTAGAGATATAAGTGGACATGTTATGGCTACACCTGGCAAGGATTTTTGTGGGTGGTTTCTTTTATTGAATAGACTGCTTGGCTGGGGAATACTTAGACAAACTTTTGGGTAGCTCAGTACCCTTGCTCAGGTGATATCCGAAAGCTTGTCTAAGTTGGTTCAATAAAAGAGATCACACATGCCTTTTGCATATCTCCTGAACCATCGTGGCTACACCATCAATCTAACACAGCTATCACTGTCGTGTATATCAGTGTAGTTTTCCCCCTATGATTATATTCCAGATTTTAGTAAGTTAGGCTTTCCCCAACGTATGTCATGTGTCTGTCTTGTTTCTGGCAGTGTAAGCACAGGCTATACTAGTATAAACATATTGTGGGTCCAGGCCTCCAAATGCTTTAGAAAGCTACTTACATAGAGCAATCTAAGGAAGACACACGGGGTGGGAAGGCAGTAGGTACAGAATAATCAGCACACCCTACAGCAGTTATTGGAGAAAGGGATACCCTCACCAAAGACATTAGGGGCAAATGTCTCCTGCACACAGTGCCCTTGAGTCCTCTGTATCTCTGATATCTGATCCCTGCTGTTCTGATTTGTTCAGTGTGGCTTGGTGGATGATGTCTGTGTCAGATATAGGTGGTGCTATATTTATACGTACCCACAATTTCAGAAGTACTAGCTGAATTTTGGAAGCATCAGTTTTTGAGAGCCCAACTTATGACCATTAGAGGAGGGGTTTTAGGGGTGCTAAGCACCCACCACACCCACTGACTTCATCTAGAGGCACCTCTGAAAATCAGGCCTGCATATCTCAAAGCTGGGCACCCCAAATTGGTGCCCACCTGACAAGCTAGGCCTATAGCTTGCAAAGTGCTCTGAGAGCCTTCAGTGGGGAAGTTGCAAAATCTGATTGTTTCTACTGCATCAAGACTGGCAGTAAGGGACATAGGGGAAGGATTATTAGGGGAACACTGACTCTTAGTGCATTGAGGGGTTTAGTATTTGTGTAAAGGAGACAGGACCTTATTTTATCTGAAAGATCCAGGAGGAGGTCCATAAAGCATGAGTCAGTTTTTAACTGCATCATGTCAGCTCTATGGGTGCCTATACATGTCCTCCAGGGTGGGTGCTTTAATAAGAGCGGCTCTTGGGAGCTGCACCCCACACAGCCACTCCCCACAGTCCCCAGCTGTCGGGTAGGAGCATCCCTAGGATTTGCCACATCCCCAGGTCAGCTGGGGATGGTGGCAGTAAGGGTGAATGGGTATCCCCTTGTAGTGCCTGGAGACATAACTAGCAGGGCAAACCCTGCCGGAGAGAGAGAGCGGAAGGAGGTGAGCAGCTGCACCTGCAGCTTCTTGTGTATTCAGTATCCTGCATTTCAAAATGGTGGTGGGGACACTTTAACTAAAGCACATTTGACAAACTTTAGTTAAAGCAGCCCTGTCACCATTTTGAAACCTGGGACGATGGATATACAAGACGGTGCAGCACGCTGGAGCTTTCTGATTAGTGCCCGCTGGCAGACCTGATTAATCAAGTCTAATCAGAACGTGTCAGAGCACGTGTACAGTTATCCTGTAAGCCTGATCCTAAACTGCTTGGCGTTGATGGAAAAGCTTCCCACACCCTTCAATAGATTTTGGATCAAGCCCTCTGAGTAGCCACAGAGCATTCCAGCCTGGCCTGGGCCTTGAGCAAAAGCTGGGCTAGTTTATCTGGGGTCTGTTTCTTTATGGGCTGTCTCAGGGTCCAGGCCAAGAGTTTTATTCGGGATAGCGCTTAGATTGTGCATGGTGTATGCGATAGGTACATATTTATAGCATTTGTTTGCTATTTCAGGATGATCGATTGGGTCTCTTGGCCTCTAGGGAAGAACATAGACAAGTGGATCATTGCTCTGTTGAAGGGTTTGGCTGCAGTGAAGAAATTCAGCATCTTGATCGAAGTGACTCTTTCCAAAATTGAAAAGGTCAGTATGCCCTTCAGACATGCCTGTGAACCAGACATCCTCCCGCCCTTTCCCCTTCAGAAGGAGAGCTGCCTCTGCTCTAGCTTGCAACCGGGTTACAATTAGATGCGTGTCGATATCGGTGCTGAATCCGGTGGTTGAAGGGGCATCACAGAATATACTGTACCACTGGGGGGATCAGCGCGAGCAATTTATACCACTGCAGGCTATACCGATATTATTCTGTCGCTGTCTATGGACTGCTGGTTTGAAGCCTGCTTTGTGCAACTTTCCAAACAGCGAGTCTTACCTCCAGAAATGCATCACATGCATAAAAGCAGGAGGCAGTGTTGAGTGGATGGTGTAGTGGACTGGGAGGTAGGATTGTCCTTTGCCGGACTCTCACTGGCTCAGTATGTTATCTCAAGCAAGTCAATTAGAGCAGCATTTTCTTCAGTGTGTATGGATTTCAGAAACCTCAGGCCCAAGGCTGAGGGCCTAGTTTTCAGAGGTGCTAAAAACCTAGATCTTCTATTTCCTTCAGTGACAGGGGGTGGTGGTACCTAGCACTACCTGAAAATCAGGTCCCAAACATCTCCAGCAAGACACCCCAAATCAGTGGCCACTTTAGAGAATTTGCCCCTCTGCATCAGTTTTCCTCATTTGTAAAACAGATAATTACTAATTGAATCTCACTACAAAAGTACAAAGCATTGTGGCTACCTGCCTGTGCTCCCACTACCTCCCCTCGCACACCAAAGAATTGGAAAGGAACATCACATCTCCTCCTCTTGGTCTTAATTCCTTGTATCGTTATGGAGTAGGAATAGGCATAGCTTTTAAAACCTGGGGGGTCTGGGAGCTTTGGGGATGGTGGTTCTGGGGGCTTGTAGCCCAGCTTCTGCAGCCTTTGCTGTTGTCTCTGAAATTGTGACATGATACTCTGGGGGATGTGGTTTCTAGCCCTTAGCTTGCTTTCAAAGCCTGTTTGTCTGAAGGCTTGGGAAGAGGCTCAGAATAGCCGGTCAGAGCAGCACTGCTTTGCCTTTTTATGGTGTCTCCCATCCAGAGGCTTAGCCTGATGGCAGTGCCCGCCAACCTGAGCAGGGACGGGTTCATGACCATGCTAGGTAAGGTACGCGTGTGTCACAAAGGAAGTCTCATTGCAGGTGAAGAGAGACGTCAGGCTTGTACAGCTAGCGGATGTGGGCAGGCCAGTGTGTGAGGGGAAGGGGTCTCACAGGCACACTGAGGAGCAGTATTGGCACGCTGGAAGCGTAGTATTCAGCAGCCCTCTGAGAGATGGGAGGTGTTGTGCTCCCCTTGCAGGGACGTTTGAGAGATGGAGAAATCAAATGACTTGGCACACAAAGTCTGTGGCAGGGTCAGAAATAGACGCTGGATCTCCTGGCTCTTCATTTCCTGGTGAAAAGCCTGGAGACCTTTCTGTCCTGGTCATCTACTGAATCTGTCCCCGAGTCTGCCCTGGGAGCAGGGGGGGTCTCCTCAGCTTCGTTTTTTGTTAAGACTTCCCAAGCTGGGTCTCAGTGGCACGAAGTCCACTTACTCGTGGCTTCCCTGTCTCCTGCCCTGTCCCTTCCTTGGTCTTCAGCTTGGCAGGGGCCCTTCTCCATGCAATTCTGGACCCTAGGGCATGCTCCTTTCTTCCCCAGCATGCCTGCTTAGCAAGCCAGCCTCTCTCCTGTGGCCCCTGCCTTATCCTGGAGAGAGAAGGGAGGATAGTTGACACATTGGCTGAGCCACAGCAGGGTCCTGCAGTCAGGGGTGGAAGGCAGTGGTCTACGGCCTTGTAGAGAGAGTAAGGAAACGCTTGCAGAGAGGAGGATAAAGAGCTGCCCCACTTTGTGCTGTGCTCTGCCCCCTGCAAGTGGAGGGAGCTGTCCCAGCCCCCATGTCCAGCAGTGAGCGAGCAGCTTCAGTCAGGCGACAAAGCTCCAATACGGAGGTCCCTTTCCTCTTGCAACTGCTGTCAAACCCTCCCATAGACTCGCATCAGTCTCTTCTCCTCTCCCTCTTTTTGCCACTTGAATCTCTTTTTACAGTTAGGCCTCAGGTAGCATAAGAACCATCTCCCCTGCTGCTCCTTGTGGGTAAGGCACTGCCCCAGGGCTCAAGAGAGCTGAGGACCATCCCTACCTCTGCCACAGGCTGCCTGTGACATGTGGGCAAGCCACTTAATCACTGTGCCTCAGCTCCCCAGCATTTCTGCTTCCTTTCTCCCACCCTCATGAAGGCAGGGATTTTCTCTTGGCAGCACCAAGCCCAATGGGGTCTTGGGCAGGCTGAGCTCTTTAGGCCACGCTCTTAATATTGGAGCCTTTCTGCTTGTTTGCTTCATCTTCCCAAATCTGCAGATATCCCCCATGTCCATGACCTGTGGCACCGTAACTTCCCTCTCCCTCAGCTGTTGTTGGCTCTGATTCCAACTTTCCCACCGGGTACCAAGCAGGCCTTGCTTTACTTACCTTATTGGACCTGAGCAGACCAGAGAGCCTCCACCGTCATGTAGAGGTGTCGCTACGTGGGTTAATGAGACCCTACGCCCCCATGTTTAATATTGTGCCTCAGCAGCATACATTGCCTTGCACTTCTGCCCTTCTCGTGTGTTTTTTTTCTCTTCTCTACAGGTCTTTTCCAAGCTGCTGTACCCCATCGTGAGGGAGGGGGCCCTGTCTGTCCTGCAGTACATGCTGCTGAGTTTCCAGCACTCGCACGAAGCTTTCCACTTGGTAAGGCTGAGTCCAGACTCGCACCTGGAGGGTGTTGCACTGAACCCAGCAACGGGGTGTTTTAGTGAGTGGTGGAGCAAAGGTAGCCAGGGAACGGCCTGGGAGCAGGTACTCTCCGGGCCCAACGCTCCCTGGATCATGGCTCTAGAGCAAACCCTCCTCCCTCTTTCTGCACACTCCAGACACCAGCTGGCTTCGCTGCCTCACTTCCAGGCTCAGGTGTGTGCTGAGTGGGTCGTTGCAAGCAGCACTCTCAAAGGCACTCTAGAAGCAGTGTAGATATCCCCTAGAAAACTGCTGCTTATGGCCAGGGAGTCTCCAGCTTTTTCTGGTTGCCAGGATATGGTCCTATTTGTGCACATACAGCCCAGCTTCCTTGGATGCCCCTCTGGCAGGAGGCACCCTGGTAATGAGTGCTGCTGTGTGTGGGGCCCTCTGAGCCCAAGAAAGAGTTGGCTGTGAGGGGATGAGCCGGCGTGCCCCAGAAGGAAACCAGAAATGAAGAACAGAATGAGGTTTATACCTCTCCCCTGACTGATTCCCCTTAAGGTTTGGAAAGTAGGGGCTAGCACTATGTAACCATCCAGATCTTCCCCCAGTGTAAATCCTAGTTCCACTGAAGCCAGTTTACACAGCTGGGGACTGTGTAAACTCTCTCTGGGGTCACCCCACAGACCTTAAGACTGACCATACACTGGCCATGCTGTGTAAGCCTTCTCCACAGTGTTGTCAGCTGTCTGAGCCCTGCCCTAGAGGACTGATGCAATGCAAAGCAGGCAGAGCTGTATCTCCATCACCCATGAAGTCCATCTTTGGAAGCTGCCTGGCACAGGCATCTTTGTAGATGTGGGAGCAATTTCTTTGTTCCTTTCTGCTGTGAAGTCAGCAGAGGGAGCTTGTGAGCTGTTGTCTTGGACTTGGTTCTATACAATCGGACCTGTTGTGTGCTTTGGTTGTTTTTGGAGTGGTTGTTCATTTTTCTTATTTTGGGGGCTTTTGGGTAATTTTGGTTTGCTGTTTTAGTTTCTTTTTTTTTTTTTTTTTTTTTGAAA